AGCGACCAACTTCAGTTCAGGTCCGGATCTCACGGTTCATGAGTTCAAGCCCTTTGAGTGTCAGGCTCTGTGCTGACAGCCCAAAGCCTGGAGCCTGTTTTGGATTCTGTGTCTCCTTCTCTCTCTGCCCCTCCCCTGCATACACTCTGTCTCACTCTGTCTCTCAAAAATAAATAAATGTAGAAAAAAATGTCTTTAATATATGTTTATTCTAGTAGCATCAGAATTTTCTTCCCTCTTCCTTTTCAAAGAACAGACTTGTCTATTTGAGCATTTTGCAAATTTTCCTGACTCGAAACCCCCTTAATAGTATTTTTAAAGATGGTTTTAACCAATTTGACAATAAATTTCATATATTAAAAAATAAATAAATAAATAAATAAAGATGGTTTTAAGTATTACTTTAGTAATAATAAGATGAACCATATGAAATTGCTGGTTTTTAGCCGTTTGGACTTACCAAAATAAAAATTTCAGATGATCCAAACTGTATATTGGGCTATATGAAGATTTTTCATGATTTCATTGATTTTATTTGGTTAGTTATAAAATGTGTTCTTTTTTTTAAAAAAAAATCTTTAACTTTTATTTTTGAGACAGAGAGAGACAGAGCATGAACGGGGGAGGGTCAGAGAGAGAGGGAGACACAGAATCTGAAACAGGCTCCAGGCTCTGAGCTGTCAGCACAGAACCCGACGCGGGGCTCGAACTCACGGACCACCAGATCATGACCTGAGCCTAAGTTGGACGCTGAACCAACTGAGCCACCCAGGCGCCCCTAAAATGTGTTCTTAATACTTTCAAAACTTATTTATGGAGATTATAGCATAGTGCTTCTGTACAATTCATCCTATTCAGATAATTTTAAAATGAATTCTCATTTATAAATAGTACACTAATCTAAAAATATTCTATAAAATTTTATAATAAAAAGCATGACTTTTTGGCAAATTTCAAATGGCAATATATCAAATTTGACCTGGGGGACGAAATAAATGTTAAAATGTCAATTGGAGTTTTACCACAAATTATATCATCAATAGTGGACAAAAGCAGTTTTTAAAACCTTGTATTTGAAAATGCTACATCTTACATTTGAAATATCAATGGAATATTTTTCTAATATTCATGGTTTTCAAAAAATAAGGAAAATATGGAAGTACAATATGAGTTTATCTGTAAGCATTACTCCACAAAGATCACATTCCATAGACCAGGAAAACAAAAATGTCACCTGGTGCCTGGCTCCTTTCTGATCCTTTTTTGCTGTGTGAGACACAACAGTTTTCTTACCTACAAAATGGCTTAGAGTCACCTTACATAAATATATCTCCCAATATATATTTTTTTCTCCTTGGAAACTAGTTATCCTAAATCCACACAGGGGAAGAAATAATCTCTTAATTAATCCTTAATTAACATCACAAGTACCCCTTCCCTTGAAATAGGTGTCCTAGTAGTTTCTTGTCTGCCTTTCCTTGGGTCTGTCATAATAAGCAAATATTAGTTATGGATGGCTGTTCCTGAGTTTTATGAGATTGACTTTGAAAAGCTTCTATTGTATAACTAAGTTTAAATGCTGGCTAAGGAATTTTAATTTTCCTCAGACTGCCAACTATGAGAATCAATCAAAGCATTAACAACAACAAAGCAGCAACATCAACAACAATTGACTACTTGATACAATAAAAGGTAATTCATTCTGTCTGACCAAATGAAAGACTTCTTGAATGGCTGCTATGTTCACAGAACCTTCTTTGCTTAGCAAGGGAAAATATTGTGAAAAACCAAAAAGTAACTGTTCAGTTCTTAAATGTATTAGATCTCATGATGAGTTAGGGGATCTATATATATTAATTAGGCTTTCTCCTAAGCAGAGCCTGAGACAGGGACTTGAGCAGAGGGAACTTATTTGGGAGACATTCCCATGAATAATAATGACAGAGCAGGAGTGTGAGACAGGAAGGGAAAGAAGAAAAGCCAAAGGATTCATTTGTGAGGTCAATGCCCTAAATAAGTGGGATTCCTCTAGGATAGTTGGAGAAGGGTGCAGAGTGCCTTTAGAATTATCTTCTGCAAAATGAGATGCTGGAGCATTTATCCATGAGAACTCCCTTCTTCGTTTAGTGTTTCTATGTCTACCACAATCTTTAACTGTTGACAAAGAAAAATGTGAACAGTTGGGTACAGGGCAGGGCTAGTTCTAAGCTATGAGGATTATGGGAAAGAATAAAATGGAACATTCTATAATGGGTTAACAGGTTCATATAGCCTTTTATTTGGAAACCAATACGGTGATGATTGAAGAAATAAGAAAATTCCTATTCACTTTCTAAATTTTGCCCAACACCAGATCCTGCTAATTCTTGCCTCTGTTTCATCTCACAAGCTCACTTCTCTATATCCTATCCTTTAAAATCACAAGGGAAGAATGAGAGATGTAGGTTTTGGTTTTAGTAGTCTTAATTGTTTTTAATATTTTTTATGACATATGTGAGGAAAAAAGTCATCTTATCTCTCAAGTTTTAGGTATTTTTACTCCTAAAACAGGTTAGATGGTTTCTAGAGTCTGTTTTAGGCCCAGAATTGGTCATGACTCATGTCTTCTAAGCATGCTTATCAGTCAATATTACCTTTAATGTATCCCTTCTGTAATTAATGTGTACAACAGAATTATATGCATATGGGTGTATAATGAGACTAGAAGTTACTACAAATCCTTGCCTTGTACCAGTAGGTTCTGTAGTTACCTGCTATAACGCCTGAGGATGTCATCGCCAAATTTGATTCTTTGAGGTGAAGTGTATTTCTGGGAGATCTGTGTAAAATATCTGTACATAAAATATCTTGGGGCAGCAAAGACTATATTGGTTATAGAGGTTTTACATCTGATCATGAAGAAAGATTTCTCAATCTGAGGTAAACATCACATTGAGAAATTGGTTTCCAAGTGGCAACATTTTATGTATATGTATATATATATGTGTGTGTGTGTGTGTGTGTGTGTGTGTGTGTGTGTGTATACAACCAGTCATATATTTTATAACAGTTTTGATTGCAAAAATTAAAGGGAATATATGTATTTGAGGCATTGTCGGTTACTTTCCTGGTTGAAGGAAACAAGCTTTTCTTAGATTAATTTATAATTTCCCTGATGCACTAAATTCAAATCCTTGAGTAATTGGTGCCTGGGTTGCTAAGGTTAACCACTGAATTGACACTACTTAGAAAACCCAAGTGGAATCCTATTTAAAAAAGAAAAAAGAAAAAAGAAAACGGTGTTGCTTCAAAAATATCTACTTTTTTCTAATTTGTGGTGAAAAGAACATCTCCTTATTTCTTTCACTAGTATGTTCACCTTTAAGGGAAGAACGCTTCTCAACCCAAAAGACTTAAAGAGAGTCGAATAAATAATTTACCTATATTCTTTGTAAACACATACCGAGTTGTACAACCATGTGTTGAAAGGGAAGTTATTAAATATTTTCTGCTTCCAGACACCATGGGCAGGGCACTAAGAAAGGGCGCTCTGCCTCTTTTGCAGACAACCCCTCCCCACTGTGTGAGCAATGCCAGAGTCACCTGTAAAAACCCAAAGGGAATAGGAGGGGTTTAGGGTATGGTTTCGCCGATTTCCCAGTTCTCTTTATGGCATGGCATGTTCATGCTGTTTCTCTTTCTGTAAGGCTGCATGAAACATTATAATTTATTATAGTCATAAAAATCAAGATTTCAGGGTGGATTGGGACCTTCAGAATTCTGATGAGTATTGAACCACTTCCATTTGGTAGCTGATCATGTATGGAAGTTAAATCACTTTTTCCCATGGCACACAATTCATCAGTGGCAGAGCCAAGACTAAAAATGAAATATCTGACGTCTAATTATTTTGGTGCATTTGACATCAGATGACCATGCTGAGGGTTAAATACATGGGAAATGCTGGCTGTATATGTAGTTCTTAACATGTAGCAGTGGTGTACCAAGAACAGGGTGATGGAGTTTCTACCCTGGCTCAATAGTTTTTAAAGCCATAGTTTAGAACTTGGACAAATAAATAATGTTTTCTGGGAAAAATATTTTATCACCGACATTGTCTCAAATTGTGGGCACTTTATTACTGTTTTTACATGATCTATAAAGTACCCTAGTGTGGATGACTCCCAGTGTCCTACAAATGCTATGCTACAGGTAAGCAGTAAATTAACAATGTCCGTTTAAGTTCCAATACAATACAACAAACGACCCAACTGCTGGTAACTTTTAGATGAGATTCAGGCCAGGAGCCCAGGGAACACGAGACAGAAATGAGGTTTGAGCATGTACCCTGCCTTTGTCATATAATGAATTTCGTCTTCCAGAGACACCCAAGTTCAGCTTTTGGCTTAGCACTTGTAAGAATATAGAAATATGAGATGGGGCGCCTGGGTGGCGCAGTCAGTTAAGTGTCTGACTTCAGCCAGGTCACGATCTCGCGGTCCGTGAGTTCGAGCCCCGCGTCGGGCTCTGGGCTGATGGCTCAGAGCCTGGAGCCTGTTTGCGATTCTGTGTCTCCCTCTCTCTCTGCCCCTCCCCCGTTCATGCTCTGTCTCTCTCTGTCCCAAAAATAAATAAACGTTGAAAAAAAATTAAAAAAAAAAAAAAGAAATATGAGACTGGGAGAATAAATAACTTGTTTTTTACAAGCTCATTATATTATATATCCTAAAACGTTATGCCAAATGTTTTATTGGAATAGAGTAATTAAATGTCTTTAAAAAAATAGCCTCCATTGCTTTATTTAATGTTTGTTATTTTGGATATAAAAGCAGAACTTAGCTAGTCAAATGACCTGGTTTGGCAGAATACTCACTTTTTTTTAGCAAACAAACTGGCCCCCACACAGATCCACACTAAAGTTTACAGAGTTCAGCTTCTGTACCAGTTGAAACTAGAGCCTACCTAAGAGCACAGAGAGAGAACTGATTGGCTGGTGCAGAGCGAGGAGGATATATAAAAGGCCTCTGTGGAACATCTGGGAAGGTCAGTGATATCACCTGTTCAGAGTCAAACCTTGGACCTTCTCAGACGGTACATTTTCACCATGAGTGGGTGCCCATTTTTAGGAAACAACTTTGGGTGAGTATTTACCTCTATTTTAAGTATGGTTAGGCGCTTAGAAATGCCAAGTAAGAACGCTTCAATTTCTGAATTTCAAATGCATTGAAAATTGTCGCCCATATTCTCTTGTTAGAAAATCAACTTTAAAAACAGTAGGAGAATTTTGACTACTCCTATTGTTAGTTATTACGCTGTCTCAAGATCTCCTGTTTTCTCCTCACTTATTTAATCTGTAGATGTGCTTTTAAAAAATTGTCCATAGAAGGCAGTGAAGACGACAAATCACAAACCGGTGTGAATAGAGCCAGCAAAGGAGGACTTATCTATGGAAACTACCTGCATGTAAGTGGGAGAGCCCTTACAGTGTTCAGCCTCCATTGTTAGGTGCTAAATTCCACAAAGTGACATTTTCATGTTTTGGGATTTTTTGTGTTTTTTTTTCCCTCAGTCACCAAAAAGTTTTCTGGACCTAATGATATCCCTTTTCACGGAATGTATGCCTTTTCAGCTTTTTAAAGAATAATTCAAGAAACTCATATGTGAAAATTCACCTCTCTGGCAGAGATACAATAGAAGCAGAGGACATTATCTTGAGCAGAAGAGTGTAAATGATAAGATAAAGTGTAGATAACTGGCAGGCATTTCACAACTTGTGTAAATAAGACATAGTCACTAAATCCCAGCCTAGGTAATTGCGAATGTATCCAGAAAAATTCATTTATTAAATCCTTTATCATAAAGTAGAAATGTTGAAGGTACATGTTTTCTTGACATCGTTAGTAAATGAAAGAGGGATATTACAAATGAGGTCTTTGGCAATAAGTCTGGGGTCACTTTACAGCGTGTTTGTCTTATATATATATATATTTAATAGACTTTATTGACAGATTGGTTTCCATACAATACCCAGTGCTCATCCCAACAAGTGCCCTCCTCAATGCCCATCACCCACTTTTCCCTCCATATTTTTTAAGAAGTGAAATATTTAGACCCTTTGATGCTTTCATTGATGGGTTGGTGAGGATGAGCTGATAAAGAATGTTAAGATCTTCTTAGAATAGGCTCTCTATTCTATACAAAAGAGCGGAAGAACAGTGAGCTCAGCAAGTGACCACATTTTTATCATACTCATTTCAAAAGGCAGAGGGATATGATTTCTCACTGAGTGTAATGGTATTTTTTATGATAGAATCCTACCAAGTATAGTTTCTTCTGAAGAGAATAAAAATCATAAATTTAACTCATTCTTTATAAGACTCATGCACTGTTGAAAAAATAGATTGCTTCCTGAGAATTTGGGAACTGGGGAATTTTTTTTCATTATCGTATTCTACTTTTTTTTTTTTTAATGTTTACTTAATTTTGAGAGAGAGAGTGAAATAGAAAGAGAGAACGCAAGCGGGGGAGGGGCAGAAGGAGGGGGACAGAGGATTTGAAGGACTCACCCTGACAGTAGTTTCAGTGCAGCAAGCACAATGTGGGGCTTGAACTCATGAACCCACGAGATCATGACCTGAGCCAAAGTTGGATGCTCAACTGACTGAGCCACCCAGGAGCCCCTTGTATTCTACTTCTTATTAAAATTAATAAAAAAAACCCCAAGTTTTACAATTTCAAAATTAATCCTTCTTTTTTAAAATCTTTTTTTAGCCTTATTGAAATATAACTGATGTATAACATTGCGTAAATTTGAATTATATAACATGTTAATTTGACACACGTATATTGCAAAATGATTACCATCATAACACTAGCTAACATCTGCATGGCGTCACATAATTACCATTTCCTCTTTGTGGTGAGGACATTTAAGACCTACTCTCTTAGCAACAGTTTATTAACTATAATCCCCATGCTATATATTAGATCCCCATGATTTATCCATCTTATGGAAGTTTATACAAAATTGGCCTTTCTATTTTTTGTTTAAAGTTGGAAAAGGTTTTGAACGCACAAGAACTTCAAAGTGAAATAAAAGGAAATAAAATCCATGACGAACATCTTTTTATCATAACTCATCAAGGTAAGTTGAACAAAAGGTTGGACAGTAACTATTCCACAGGCATTTCCCAACAATAATGAGGAAACCTACAATTCTTTTAACTATAAGATGGCCAAAGACTAAAAAATCACTTCTGTTAGAAATCCTTGAGAATATTTTACTGCCAGGTAAATTCTCATAAGGCATCCTTCTAGGGTTTATAACTGTCTTCTTTATGGTTTTTTTACTGTTATTTGGATCAGGGAGGACTTTCTCTTTTTCCTAAATCCAAGGAAACTTTCTGTCTCTTGTAATACACAAAAAAAAAAAAAAAAAAAAAAATGCAAGCTAACAAGTTACTATTTTTCAACTTGGAACTTTAAAAAACCATTTTCAAGAAATAGATCACTCAAATGTATCGTGACTTTACATAATCGTATATAAATCTGGTACTAAACGTAAATGTTAAATTTGCCTAAAATGTATGTTTATTCTCTCCAGACTTCTTACCTCTGGGCAGTGGCTTTTAAATTAGGAATCCATGACTTTGGGAGTTTAGAAAGTCCCTGAACTCTTAAAATTGTGTTCAAAATTTCATGAATATGTATCTTAAAGAGGTCCATGACCCCAGAATATTAAAATTTACTCTAAGATTGTTGGTGTCATAATATTATTGAATGTCCGACCATGACCAATGTCTCATGGTAACCAGTGCCCCATTTCTAAACATGCTTCTTTTTCCTACCAGTTCTTTGTATCTTTTCCTCAAATGGTTGTTTAACTGGCTGGTTAAAATGAGCAAGTCCTCAGAGTGAAAAAATAAAGATGGAAAATAAGTGGCTTGATATGTTGTTACTTCTCCTGTTTTCACGTTTACATTTTTATTGGTGACTTAGGCCAAGACAAAATCAGTAGAAGAGGAATTGTGGCAGGGTAGCACAAATTTGGGGACAGAAAATTGTTTAGAATCCCACCTCTACCATTATAAATTGTGTGACTTTGGTCAGGTGTCTTGACCAATGATTCTACTTCTCTGTCTATAAAATGGAGAGAATGACTTTATCTTCTTGTTCATAGAGTTCTTGTGAAGATGAAATGAGTTAATGTGCCTTGAGCCCTTAGCCCAAGGTATGGCACATAATAAGCATTCAAAAAATGGAAATATCATTATTTGATAGGGAGACTTTCCTTCCATCCTTCAGCTACAACATGTGGTCAGTGGGTCACAGAACAAGCCACACAAAATAAAATTTGAGAAAAAGATACAGCAACCGATTAATAAATATTTGATTTGTTCTTTGTCCAAATATGAAAATTAAATCCCTGAAGGTCTCCTTAAATATAATTTAAAATTATAATTTGATTCCTGTAATTAGTACAGAAACATGCCCTTTACCCAAACAATAGCACCAAATAGAATGCACTAGGAATCTCTAGGATTATTGATATTCTATACTCATGTAACAACTACACTGGCTACTTAATTCATTTATTCATAAAATAATTAGCCATGGTTTATCTTATGCCAAGCCCTGTCCTAGGTACTGAGGGGAGCAGAAGAGTATAATGAAGTTTTAGACCATTCATGAGCTTGTCCTCCCATAATATTCTAAGCCTCTAGAAAACAAAATTTTGTCATATTCATTAGGTTAGTGGCCATTAATGTCTCAGTTTATAGATGGAGCTTAGTATCACTGCTTTTCCACACATCTTCAGCATCCGAACAGGAAGTTAGAATTAGATTGTGTGCTATATATTAAAAGACCTAGACAACATATTTGTTGAGAGAAATCAAAATAATAATAATGAATATAAAGCTTGCAGATAAAGTGACTGGCATATTAAAACATCGAAAAAAGAAGGCTATGATAACATTATAACTGATATGCATTTTTTAGCATAAAATAAGGCTGTATTGGCATTTATTATTTTTAAATGACATTTTATTTCTTTTTCACTGTGTTAGCCATATCTTTCATGCGATTCTGGTCAAGAAGTGTCCCATAACTTTTCAATTGACAATGATTTTTCTCGTTGCAGCTTATGAACTCTGGTTTAAGCAAATCCTCTGGGAATTAGATTCTGTCCGAGAGATCTTTCAGAACGGCCATGTGAGTTATTATATCACAATATTGGATTTATATATATATATACATATATATATGTATATATATATATATATTTGGAGAATGTAGAAACATACTGTTAATTAGAAAAACAATACTAACGAGGGAATTATTACTTAGCAGAAACATTTAAAAAACTTTTCTGAGTGGACACGAATGTAGTGATACTTTCCCCATGCCATTGCTGCCTTCCAGCTACACATGGCTCTAAGGGTCCTTTCAAATTTCAGTTTCAGGCCCCTTGTTTAGAACTTGATTTTTTTTTTTCCCCCTTGAAGAAAGTTGTTATGTATGATGGTAGATTGCCAATATAGCTAATATAGATCCTTTAGTTAAAAGGTATCAGGATTGTATTTCTTTTCTTTTCTTTTTTTTTAATGTTTATTTTTGAGAGAGAGGGAGAGAGAGAGACAAAGCATGAGCAAGGGAAGGAGGGCAGAGAGAGAGGGAGACACAGAATCCAAAGTAGGCTCTAGGCTCTCTGAGCTGTCAGCACAGACAGCGATGTGGGACTTGAACTCACAAACTGTGAGATCATGACCTGAGCCAAAGTCAGACGCTTAACCGACTGAGCCACCCAGGCGCCCCTCAGGATTGTATTTGTAATGAATATTTGCTGTCGGAAGATAGGAACAATGATGAGGAAGTGAAACAGTAAGAAAGGAAGAGGCAGGAAGAGAGTAGTAGAAGAAAGAAAAAGAGAAAAGAGAAGAGGAAGAAGGGAATACAGAGGGAAAGCCTGGAGAGGCTCAAGAGTGGGAGGAGAGCAGAGCAGAGCTGAAGGGCACTTCCCCACCTCCCAGCCTGCCTCTTGCTCCCACACACCTTCCCCAAGCAGCACACAGCCTGAGGTCCTTGCCTTTGAGCCCCTGCTCCTAGAGAACTCTGCACAGACAGTACTCTTCCTACACATATGTATACAATTCCCATTTATGTTAAAGGCAACTTCTGGGCCCTCAGTAAAGAGCAGGTTTGTCAAGGTGTTGCTTAACCCTAACACAGAAGTGTCCATGTTTCTTTGACCTGTATTTCTAGAAACAAACTAAGAGAGAAATTTACTTTGAAATCATTGGACATTGGGTTCCAAAATTGACTTCTCACTTGCTTCCGTATAATTTTCTATTTTAAAGAAAGACTAATGGAAGTGCCTGGGTGGCTCAGTCGGTTGAGCGTCCGACTTCGGCTCAGGTCACGATCTCATGGTTTGTGGGTTCAAGCCCCACGTTGGGCTCTGTGCTGACAGCTCAGAGCCTGGAGTCTGCTTAGGAATCTGTGTCTCCATCTCTCTTTTCACCTCCTCCACTCACAGTGTGTTTCTCTCTGTGTCTCAAAAATAAATAAACGTTGAAAAAAAAAGACTACCGATTCCAATTTTGCACACAATCTTTGCACACAACTTATAGTTGCTATTCATATTCAATATATATGGATGGCAAATGTTAATTCCAGTGTTCCTCTTTAAAATAGAGAGAAAGTTGGGGCAACTGGGTGGCGCAGTCGGTTAAATGTCCGACTTCAGCCAGGTCACGATCTTGTGGTCCGTGAGTTCGAGCCCCGCGTCGGGCTCTGGGCTGATGGCTCAGAGCCTGGAGCCTGTTTCCGATTCTGTGTCTCCCTCTTTCTCTGCCCCTCCCCCGTTCATGCTCTGTCTCTCTCTGTCCCAAAAAAAATAAATAAACGTTGAAAAAAAAATTAAAAAAAAATAAAATAGAAAGTTAATAGGAATGCACTGTGGTTTGTAGTCTATCTTGTATCTCCTAGAAATCAGAACCG